CGTTGTTCCTTCTGCTGCATTTTCTTTCAATGATTCTTTTTACTTTAAGCGCATTGTGCACCCTTACGATGTCTGTTCGTGTTGTCCGTAGTTCGGGTTGTCACCCTGCGTTCAGTAGTTGGTGAGATTCACTCCACCTTTGCAAAGCAGTATGGAAAGCAAAACCCCTCTGCTAGGCATGACTTGAGGAGATGCTGTACTTTAAGACTGGAATAATAGCTGGAGCCTTTCATTCTCTTTGTACAGATCGTATAGACTACTGCTGTTATGTACGTTTTGTTGGTTTTGCTGCTGCACCAGCAAATTACTGAAAAGGATGCCTCGCTGAGGGGACCTGCTGCGTTCTCTCTCGTAGCCCTTTGTACCATGTTATGTTTAGCCTGAAAGCTTAAAGTCACTGCATAAATATGTTTTGCAAAAATAACCTGCAAGCTGCCTGTGTATCGCAGGGTCTGGGCCAAACTCGTGATTCCATTTGAGTCTCATACTCCGTTTATCTCATTCACCTTACATGCTGTAACTTAATTTAATGATAATTATTTTTCAATGTGTGGTATTTCCCAAGAAAGATGGGCTGTGTTAGAGTATCTTAGAAGACTTTTGTAGTCTGCAGAAGATGGCCCAAGGGGAAATTTACTGTAATTATTTTACTTTCTAATTGGTTGGTAACAAGTTTAGCAATTACCCTTCTTTCCACTGAGTAGGATGTATTCCACCCTGCATACCGTGAGCTGTAGAAGCAGGCTACACCCAGTGAGGGGCACAGGCAGCACAGATGACACAAGGAGAGGTCAGTGCCATTGTAGCAAACAGGACCTACAATTATTTTTAGAATGTGCAAAGCAACTGTTTGACACGCATGTGACCTTGTTTACTGATTTCCATTAGTACTGAAGTATTGCCATGTGCATAGATTACCAGTGCGCTGGAAGCAATAAAAGCAAGCAATAAAAGCTAGCAATAAATTGGGCTTTGGGTCACCTTCATGTAGTAATTTGTAGAAATTCTGCTTCCTAGCTGTGTGTATTTCTTTAGTTCAACTGTGTATGAATATACCAGCCTGTCTTGCATGTAAATTATATAACAGAGCTACTTTCTTTTCTGTAGGATAAGAAAAATGATTGAAAACAACCTTAATAAATACATGTGGGTATTTGTATAGTGTTTGTCTGAGGGTTAGTAGCAGTAACCTCAAGTTGTGTAATGTATTCAAAGACTTAGAACTGTGTATTTTTCCCATTCAGCTAAAAGAAGATCAATTTGGCCAGCTATGGGTAAAAGTCATGTTTATTAATGCTTTATTAATTGAAAGCATCAATGCAATAAGCATAGTGGAATAAGAAAACATACTTTCAGTAGTAAGTGAAGTACATCTGTCCTACACTTGCCTGCAGCTATAACTTCTGCGTTGTCCAAGTAGGCAGGTTTGAGGAGACTTTGTCTATAGGGTTTGCAGGATTCCAAGTAAAGATGAGATCAGTGAGATGCTGGGTGAATACTAGTTCCTTAAGAAATGATTGAAATATTATTACTTTGTCCTACTGCAGACTAGATAAATATACCTTGTCTTTTCTTCTGTATTCCTCTCCTATGTGACTACCACCTGGATCTCCTGTCTTCCAAAAAAAAAAAAAAAAGTCAATATTAAATTACAAAAGACTTTTGCTCTTTTTTCTCCCGTGGCAAAACCATTTGACCTTTTCTTGACTAACATTGTTCTTTTGAAGCAAGCAAGTAAAACACTATTTATATCACAGTGGCAATGTCATGTTAGATAAGGGTTAGATCAAGTCAGCACCGTCCACTGCAGAGCTGAAAACCCAGAGATCCTGTTCTAAAAGGTGATGAACTCCATTCCTCCCAAATGTGATGTTCTGGCTATGTCCTGGTTGTGGTCAGAGACTGCATAAACCCAGTGTATTTCCAGCAGTGTATTTCCAGCCTTGGATTTCTGAGGTAGAAGTTATTATTAACTGATTAGTCAACGCCCAATGGTGTTAATGTTTATCCCCACTCATGTTTGAACAAGGATCTCTAAAGATTTAAGCCCTGCTTGATTATGAAAAATGTTTTCAAGAACATTATGATTTATTTAACATGGGGGAAAAAATACTAATTATGCACAAGAATTCTTGCTTTTAGGAAGAAACTCTAATAAGAAAATGCTGCAGGGTAGGCTGTTAATGGGCAGGCTGCACCGTATGTAGAATTCCTAATTGCCATAATCAGAGCTCAAAATTTTTATAGTTGAATTTAATTTTGCCAGTGAACATTAGTCACATACTGTTGCACAGACTTAAATTAATAATGCTAGAAGATTTGTTTAGACAATGTCATACATTTTTTCACTTTAATCTTTTGGTAGTACTGTAACATACAGCAAAATCCATTGTGCAGTATTTCCTGCCCTTAGACCCAACAAACCCTTTGCTGGATTTTAAAATAGATTTTAAAAGCCTTTTAACTCCTCTGAGCAGGTCAGTGTTCCAGTATCACTTGTGGCTAAAGTGGAATCACTTCTTTTTTTTTATTCTGGCCCTGCTTGAAAGGCCTTCAATCTTGCCAAACCTAATGTAGCATGTATTTGTGGATCATCCAGTCATGAATGTTGTGTATTGTATCACTAATCATTTTATTGAAAGCCTATTTTGTTAGCAGCTTAGCAGGCTCCAGCCATTCATGGCTTATTGTAGCTACGACAATACTGAAGTCTTTTCAGTTTTATTTCATGAGTGGTTTCACTGGCAAAATGAGTGGCAGTAGAGCCCCTGTCAGTCTGGACTTTTGCCATCATGATGCAACTGCTGTTTTTTAATACCTGTAGTGTTGAGCTTAGGTTTTGCTGTAACTCTAATTCATAATTTTTCATATATCAGTGAATCTATGCTGATTAAGTATCTTAAGGGCTTGTTTTGGATGTGGAGTCAAATAGTACCTGAACTTTTAACAGACACTAGAGAAGAGTGCTGTAGGACATCAAGTCTTTTCACAGGCTTTGCACAAGGAGTTGAAGCAGTTTGCTCCAAGGCTTTTTTGATTCCAGCACCTG